TTTTCTAACTTGATGAAAACAAACCATAATCTCATTAATTCTAACAGACGTTAGCCTGTCACTTTACAATTTTCAAAAAATGGCGGTGCCATGTAACATCCGCCGCCAGAGGATAAATGCTATTTAGGTTTGTTTTCACCGAAGTTACAAAATCCAAACTACTTTCTATTGGTAGTAAAATATGTATTTGATTGATGGCCAATAGCATTTTGCATGACATAGCTTATAACATAACAATTTCTCTCGTGGCAGCGAGGTGGGTGTCAATATAATACTACCGGGTACTTACAATATTATTGTTACTTCGACCACAACCTCGCTTCCGAGGAAGAAATCGTTATGTTACAAGTTGTGTCATGGAAAATCTTTATGGTCATCAATCATATACATATTTTACTACTAGTAAGTAGTTTTGATTCTTTAACTTCCGCGGAAGCGATCTGAACACAAGTAAGATACCGCTTCTGGCTTCCACAACGTCGCCGCCGACTCACAAACACAACCCATTTAGCACCTAACCGCGGGTCCTGTGGAAATCTGTGCATGTGACACCATCGCCCGACCCCTAGGAGCAATTGACGACAAAGCAACGATTCGCATGTCGCCGTTGATGTCAAGAAATCATCAAATGATGAGCTGCGCTACACACTTTCTATACAACTAACTGAAAATCGCTACTCATATGACGTCACTGCAGTGCTCTGGCGACAGAGTTACGTAACCTGTCTGTGGTTTCATGCATGGGCTTAGAGTGAAGCAGGCTTAACTTTTTGGCAACTTTTAATCGCCGGTATTAATTGACCACAAGTTTTTAAGAATGAATTTGGTGTTCCGTGATAAGTCTAACCACAAATCTTTCATATGTAATAGTTAAAAGAGTACAAAAAAACAAAGTTTATTTGTTCTTTAAGAATTTTAGACTCTCATAATTCCGTACAGAATTGCCCTTATGTAAATATATGTTTAATTAGTTTGTATATATGTATAACAGGGGTGAGACTTTAATAAATAATCTGTATGTCTGTCTGTCTGCAAAATCTTTAAACAGAGGATCCACAATTATCCGAACAATTATCTAGCATTGAAATAGAATGTTACACAAAATACAAATATATCGCTTTTTCATCCGAGATATTTAACTGCTAACTACTAATGTAAATAAGGTGCAAAGAATATATCCTATATATCCTATGTTCAAAGCTTCTCGTCAATACAATTACATATTGACATTATTGCTTCTTAAATGATGATAATCTTTGTTTTATTAGATCTGAGACTTTATCCCTTGAGGACATAACACTAATTGTGATCTATTTCCTTTTCTGAGATACTTACTATTGACATAAACATTATAGTAAAGTTGGTGAAAGTCAAAACAAAGGTTTAGGAAAACACACATGAAAATGTCTTGAAGCGTTCACCTCCTACAAACCAGTGTGCAATATAATATGAAGCTCACTTTCCAAATAACCATCAACAAACCTTGAACAATTTGTCAAAAAACAACATCTTAATAAACACTAGCTTTGGCTCAGTCTTCAAATATTAGTAACCTCCTCAAACGCTGATGATTAATAAGAAGAATTCCATCAAATCAGGGTTAAATAAATGTTTCAACATTCATTCCGCATACATGAATAGTCAACTGAGATTGTTGTAACTTAATAAAGTTATTCTGTTCCAGGAATGGATAATGCCTGACCAAGGTGTGACCAAAACGTAGCCTTTGCTTTTTCAAATTCTCTGAATGTTGAAATAACTTTGAGTTGTGATACTAGCATTGCTTCGGAAGCATCGTTTGACCCCTGAATTAAGTCTGACAAATCCATACATACCGCCTGCTGATTGGCCAAAATTGACGATCGCCAGTTTTGATTCACAGACTGGATCAGTCTGTTATGTTGTATTTAATGGTTGAAATAGATTCCAAGGAATAAATGCCTCAAAAGACTTGGAAAATTGCTCGCATTTGGCATTGCAAGGAATTGAAATCATTCAGAGAAGGGAGTCAAATGATTGGTGTAGTGTCACTGATAATTATGTCATTTTTACTCTTTAATGAAGTATTGTCTTACAGTTTCCTTCTGGTGATTTTCTGCACCATATTTAAAGGAGGGTTAACTGCACCTTAATCTTTTTGCAAAAAGCTTAGATGGAAAAGTAGCACTCGACATATGGGACTCCTAAACTGAATAAAGATGAATACGAATGCTCCATATATTAGGTTGTGTCAGTTTCTCACACAGCTAAACACATGACATTTCCTCACCTCTATGTCTGAATTGTCTCAGTTGGTAAATGCTACATTTGTACATGCACTGAAGAATACTTGTGACACTATGATAATGTGTACTTGCAGGACACAAGACACCAACATTAAGAGATTTGGAGCTCGAGCTCAAGAAAGAATTGACCTTGAGAAACATAGACTCTTAACTGGTACCATCTCACCACTTGTTTATGGTCATGCCGCTAATTATCTGGTGGGATTGTGAATGTGATTATTATGTCATGTGAGTAAGATTTATAGTCACATCGGCAGTATTTCAGCCATATCGCGTGACTTAAAAAGTTATAAAACCTGTCGACCGAAGGACAGTAATACTATGTCATGTGAAACAAATTATACAGTTACAGTCAAATCCCGATGAGTCGAATCGCTGGGGACCAAGTAAAAGATTCGCTTATCGATGTATTCGGTGACATAGGTATGTCTATGAGGGTAGAAAAAAAGATGATTCAATATTGAACAATTCGCAATCGATAGATATACTTGTACATGCCGCCATCTTGAATCTTATTAATACAAAAAGATGAACTCACTTCTGGAAAATGTCTGACATTAATGTTTGTTTCTGTGAATTTCCCTTACATTTATCCACAAATTCACGGACGGCTTGCCAAGTGGGGAAAAATGTTCGTTGTTTGTACCTGGAACCGACTTCGAGAAATTCCCCAGTCCTTCACAGAACTTTATCGCCCGATCACGGATGGTGGTGGTTTGACGGCAGGGTGTGTCTCGCCTTCATCATCAGACGAAGTCGCCGCTTGTGACAGGTGCTAATTCTTCCATCTCCGTGAAAATCACTAATCTGCCTTTTGAACTCACCCGACAAAAGCGGAAAGGTGCGAGCAGCCGCTTTGGTTTGTTAATTGGATCAGTTACATGTAGTTGGATCACCAATTAACTTCTCATTGACTGACTTCGGCTTATGTATACAAGATTACTATTGTTTGAATCTCAAGGGACCAAATTTCCATTTCGAGTCATCGTGTGTATTTATGAGACGAATTCGTGTAACCGGAAATCAAATGATGACAAAAATAGCAGTGAATGGTCGGGACCGACAAGTACTTCGTGTTATGCATAATATTCGAGACACCGGCATTCGACTCATCGAGATTTGACTGTATATGTACTTATGTATAATGCACAGTACACATAAATATTTGTTTCCTGGTGTGACATTTAAGGCTTATTTCGTGTATGTGCTGATTTAAAATTTCATCATATTTGTCAGATAATTCATTTTCATATATTTGTATATATGCAATATTGTGCATGCATATTATGTTACATGCAATATTAGTAAATAAAAAATGTCACCATATTTTCAAATGACTCATATTCGTATATTTGCAGGTGCTATATGCACTAAACAAAAATGTGATAAACCCTACTGTTTACCAGCAAGTGCTGGCATACTTGCATTTCTACTACAGACTACAGCTTTAATCCACATTGTTGTAAGGATTAGTACGGTCCAGTAATTTATATTTCTACTACAGACTATAGCTTTAATCCCCATTGTTGTAAGGATTAGTACGGTCCAGTAATTTGAATCCCTAAACAAGACGCAGGCAAACAGAGAACACCCCATATATACATGGTAAAGTTTGAACAGTAAGACCCACCACAAGATCCCGAAACTATGAATCATACAACTTGATGGAGGACAACTTCTTGTTTACTCATGAGTGACTTCCATGTAGATTCTTACAGTAGGTTCTAGTGACTGGAACCAAATGGTTTGACTAGAACCAAAGTATATGTACATAGTATGTTTTGACAAACTGCAGATTTACCTTAAGAACAACATGTAATTGAATAAGGGCCTGAGCTGATGATGAGCCTTACCAGCCTGAACGTGCCAGGATCACCCTAACCCTCTCTGCTGCATGTTTCATCTTAATAATAATAATATAGTATTATAATAATAATCCATAAAGTTATAAGCTTAATTTTATTTTTCATTCTCTAAATCAGTAACTGCATTCATACCAGGTACATAAACCAGCAACTGGAGGTCAGTATTGAAACCGATGTTTTGTAACAGTGTAATGATGCAACATGTGCATCTTATACACAATAGAAAAAGGTGGACATATGATGCCTGTTTAAACAAAAGAAGTTCCTGAGCCAGACCAAGATCACCAAATGAGCAGTTGTTAATATTTCAGATATGCCCAGTTTTACCGGTACTTACATGGATATTTAGTGAAATGTCCAACAGAAACCACTTCATCAGTTTATGGAGTGATGAGGTAGACCAGTGGTTATGCTCGTCATGCCATATCACATTATATACCACAGTTTCACTCATCAAGATGAATGGATGATGTTGATGTATGCATATGGCTATTATATGTATAAATAGCCAATACTTTTATGTGTGCAATGTAGAAAAGGAACTTTATGCAAACTAGTATCTAGTGACAGTGATCAGTGTTTGTTGTCATTTGTAGTTCAACTAGCTCCTATTTACTTGCACATGACAACATGGCAGTAATAAGCATAGGTCACCTGTGTGACACTGATTCCAATGGCCCTAGAAAAAGGTTTGTTTATTGAATAGACACGGAAGCAATACCACTAACCACTACACCACGGAGGCGGTCCCAATACCAGGAGACTAAGTGGATCAGTTGTTGAAGTTCTGCAAACTTGATATCATGATATCAAAGCACTATTTGGTTTTGTTACTATTTACAGGCAGACATCATATAGCAGGGCTTTGTTGCATGGGGTGTTAAACAGCAAGTACATATTGCTGATGTTTTTCAGTGAGGAACAACTTCAAAGGCATGAAGAGTTTGTGTCCAGCTTCCCAAGACCAGACCGAAGAGTCAACATTGCTGAGGGGTATCTGTCTCATGCTGTACGTACTTTCATTTCATATGAGCTTCATGCAAAACATGAATTAGTATTCTGTAAACAATAACTAAGAGGATGATATTGCAACATTTCAACATTCAGTAATTCCTGAGCAGAACTACTCTCTACTGTCTGTACCATGGAAGAATACTTAGTTCATGAAATTATCAGATTGAGTGAAGTTACTTACATTCTGTACTAGGCCTGTGCTGCTGTCCCTGCCCATGTGTTTCTGTATGCATATTAAATTTCACAGGTATTTGGGCAAGATAGTTAACTGAAGCTTCATGTGTATCAATGGCTTGAAATTGTTCTAAACCTGTGAAAAGCATTTCCCTTCCTTGATAATAAGAGATATGGGGAAAATGGCAAATCGGTTTTATATTTAGATCTACACAAAATAAAAAATTTCAGTGAGGCTAAGATGATGAATTCAGCATGCAATATCCTGGTAGTCATGCTAAAAATAACTGTTATGGTTGTGATAAAAGAAACATTGAAATTCAATTTTGAGTGATTGCATTATTTTATTACATTAAAGTAGTTGTATGGAAAGTCTGCTGTTTGCTGAATTAATTACAGTGGAAAACTCCAGAGTGAATGAAAGTGTGTGTTGATATCACCCAATGGTTCTGAGAAAACATTGCAAAATGTAATGTTTGAAAAGCCTATTGTAACATACCGGTATACTGTTAACACCATGTAGTTTGAGATATGCTCATCTTTTATGAATACTGTCTGTTGATAGTGATTGTTAACATAACATGCTTCTTATATTGTAATACTTGTACACATTACACTTGTGTGTAGATATTTGTGATGATTATGGAAATTCTTTGGTACATTTTATTTCCCTTAACTGGAAGAATTACTTTCTGCTTCAAACATAAAGACTATAGGAAATTGCTTCTCATGCATGTATTTCTGTCACTGCCATACATATTACCTTTTTTAACCTTTCCTTCATATATTGTTGCTCTTCCAGAGTCATCAAAAGATGCTGCTTTACCTGACTTCAACTTTAACATCAACAAGGCTGAAAGATACACAGTAAAAACTATATTCTGTGATATTCTGTGACACACACACAATTCCTGATGGCATTCCTTATGTTGAGCTTATAGGACATTGCAGAGGAATGAACTTGATTACTTATTTGGCTTCACAGCAAATGATATATATCTCCATTTTATAAAAGAAACTTTGGTAGTATTACTGCTATTACATATAGCGTGTTCTACCCATGATAGATATTGTTCTACCCATGAAAGATCCTGTTTATGTGATTCAAGCGCAATGATGGGATTGACTGAATAAATGTTGTTACACACGACCGGGGCACTAGGACAACCTATGATCACCTATGTCCTTCGCCACATGTTACACACAACCGGGCACTAGGACAACCTATGATCACCTATGTCCTTCGCCACATGCTTAGCTCGCCACATGTTACACACAACCGGGTGGTACTAGGACAACCTATGATCACCTATGTCCTTGGCCACGTGTTACACACAACCAGGGTACTAGGACAACCTATGATCACCTATGTCCTTGGCCACGTGTTACACACAACCGGGGCACTAGGACAACCTATGATCACCTATGTCTTTGGCCACATGTTACACACAACCGGGACACTATGACAACCTATGATCACCTTTGTCTTGCCACATGTTACATACAACCGGGACACTAGGACAACCTATCATCACCTATGTCCTTGGCCACATGTTACACACAACCGGGGTACTAGGACAACCTATGATCACCTATGTCCTTCGCCACATGTTACACACAACCGGGACACTATGACAGCCTATGATCACCTATGTCTTTGGCCACATGTTACATACAACCGGGACACTATGACAACCTATGATCACCTATGTCCTTCGCCACATGTTACACACAACCGGGACACTATGACAGCCTATGATCACCTATGTCCTTTGCCACATGTTACATACAACCGGGACACTATGACAGCCTATGATCACCTATGTCCTTCGCCACATGTTACACACAACCGGGACACTAGGACAACCTATGATCACCTATGTCCTTTGCCACATGTTACATACACTTGGAAGTAACCAAAAGTTGACCATTATGTAAAAACTGGATTTCTTTGTTTAAACAGGAGGATATACTCAGGGCTGTTACGACTCTTCAAGTGCAAAGTGGACAAGAGGCTTGAAATTTGACATGAAAGCACATGATGTAAGAATACTTTTATGATATTTATGTTGAATTAATAATTAGAGACATTACATGCTTCTTTGACTCACAAAGAACCATACTGATTTATAAATTTGGAGCTTTGTGAAAACAGTTATTTCATAGTATGAGCTTAATGATGAGATTCTATCACCAAGTATGAGACAGTGAAATATTTCCATAGATGAAATATTGGCATTTTCCACAAACTGATGTCATAGACTAGTTCTATACATATACACAAATGAGCATTAATCAAGCACCGGTGTGGTGTGTGTGATATTTGAAAAATGCTTATAGTTTGTAGAATTAGAATTAGCAAGTGCTGTTAGGCAACTGGATCTGTTGACATTTTTTACATTGATGTAAAAGTGATTCATGATGCTGTGTGAGTTGTTTTATAAGAACAAAAAGTAACACTTATATTTTTGGGTACTTCAGAGCTGCCACAGATTACATAATGTATGTAGGGGTGAAGGAAGCAATCATATTCATTCTGATGGATGTGATGAACATGACATATGAAGAAGTAAACCTGGAGTGCAGGTCCACTGAATTTGATGCCAGCTAAGTTCCAGGAAGAGGAGTACACATCACTGTTGATGATGAGTGACAGATAACTTGATGGACTATATAATGTAGGGGACACAGTGAACACCTCGTCTATGTCTGCAAGTGTCCATCCCTATATACGTCAGTGCATCTGTCATCATGTTGTTGGTGGGGCATAATTAAAATTCTTTTACTTATTTCACAAAACACAATTGTCAGATATATCACTGTATAGGACCGCAGATCGCGGCTCTCAGCTAATGTTCAGAGCATTGAACGATACCACGCCATCAAGCGAATTGCCTTACATGTTATTCAATATGCGAAGCTTCCAAAGCGAGGTATTTCCCACTGTTGTATCACGCTACCGAGCAGAAAGCCACTGGTATCGGGAAACAAACAACCATGCATATTATTTGAGAAATCTGTTTATAATAATTTCGATTACGTGAAAATGAAAATATAAAAGAAAAGGTAAGGGATATTATGACATCGCCGCGCATTTTTTGCTCCCTTCATGGTTTAACTGGACATTATGAATGTGTAAGCTTGCATTTTCATTAAATATTAATTTATTTACGTTGTAGTTGTAGTATTTGAATAATATGATATAAAATAAATTTCATATTTAAAACAGTAGGATTAGACCTTTCAAATGGTGTATGATATGTAGTAGCAATAATGTTTTGCAAGCTGATATTTTCATTGATAAACATAGGCTTCATCTATGACCTCAGAGTCTCTGGGAACTCGGTGTCATGTTAGTAAATGCCTCTGGTTGACTGGTGTTGAAAGAGTTAAATACATATGACAATGTCCTATTTGTCGTTTATTCCTTTTGTTGTGAACAATCATGAACAGTTCTCATAAGATCTGAAAAAATCATGTTTTTGGTCCCAGATTTTATCTCATCTTTTCTGAGCCAGGTTTATCCCTGTGAGCTGTATGCAGAGGTACATTTAGCATGTAGTTTGGCAGGTGGACACATCAGTTATACTATGTCAGGCAACTGTGCTGGATTTATAGTAAATTACATGTAGTAAAATATATCTGAAAATTAAAACTATTGGCCCAGTACATTCAGAAGTTGCTCACAAGTTTGAACAGCTACCATCAGCTGAGAAAACATCTTCAAATTCCATAAACTGTAGGGTTTAAAGGCTTTATCCCAATTCTGGTCAAGGGCATGTGACGGATAATAATAGTTAAAAATCAGGAGCTGAAAATTCAAAGTGCTATCTTGACCCAGTACATTCTGAAGCTGCTCACAGGGTTCGAATAATAATAGTTAAAAATCGCTGAAAAATGCTATGTACTATCATCAACTAAGAGAACATCTTCAAATTCCATAAACTGTAGGTTTTAAAGACGTTATCCCATTTCTGGTCACGAGCATGTGACTAATAATACATGTATAATGCAGAGTGAATGAAAGAGAAAGGTAGAGCATGAAACAAACATTACAGAACTGATGAACGTTACCCTAACCTGGGTATGCCTAAAACTACAAATAATTTCCATATATAGAGATTATTTATGTCACCATGACTATGCCGCCAATCTGATTGTCACACAGTTCTTAAGTAATGATAGTTGTGGTTGTATGAACCACCAGTGGCGACCACATCAGTACCTAATGTAACCACCCCTTGTACAGACACCACCAGTGGCGACCACATCAGTACCTAATGTAACCACCCCTTGTACAGACATCATCAGCCAGTCTTCTTCTCATTGTTTGAACCACCAGTGGCGACCACATCAGTACTTAATGTAACCACCCCTTGTACAGACATCACCAGTGGCGACCACATCAGTACCTAATGTAACCACCCCTTGTACAGACATCACCAGTGGCGACCACATCAGTACCTAATGTAACCACCCCTTGTACAGACATCATCAACCAGTCTTCTCCTCATACTGGCCTCAATCATCAAATTCTCAGGATCAGAATGTGCTTCCTCACACGTTGTCTAATAACTGTGTGGTTAATGTTCAAGTCAACAAGGTAGCACTGATGTTCCAGCAGGACATGTCATGCATGCCAATAACTTGCCATCATGTATTTTCCGAAAATCTACATGACATTCCGTATCTTTTTTCACCATTGATGACATACATAAGTGAGCTATGATGCTGTGTAAACATTGATATATTTTTGTAGTTCAGAGCAGCCACAGAATACCTCATGTGTGTTGGGGTATAGGTATATTACATTTATTCTGATGGATGTGATGAAAAAAACAACAATGAAGAAGTTAACTGAAATGCAAATGAACAGAATTTGCTGCGGACCAAGTTCCAGGAAGAGGTGTCCACATCACTGTACCTGACAAGTGATGACAGTTATCTTGAGGGACTACATCTATGACTGGACAGAGTCTGATGTTTGTTATTAGTGTATGTCGCATGCAGTAAACATCGGATAGTAAAGTTATGCCTTATCTCCTGTATTTCATGAACTTGGCTGTTATATTTCTGTTATCAAAACTGTCTTCTGTGATAGTTAGTATTTAATTAAGGCTGCACATAACTGCAACCAAGTGTCTGCATGTCTGCTAGGAAATCATGTGAAACTGTTTCCCTTTGCCAGAACTGAGAAAGTTTGATATATGTAATTGATGATATGTACAGAAGTGTGATAAATGGCATGTAATGCTACATTTTAATATTTAATGTGTATGATGTAAATCTTAGAAAAAAAAAATGATGCCATCTTAAAATATTCAGCTTTGTGAGTTTCAGTTGCTCCAGATGTTTCCATATTTTCTTTCTGTCGGCCATTTTGTGAAATGTAGCTACCAATCATGAGTTCATACCAAATACCAAATAAAGGTAATAATTTATAAACAAGATGTGCAGCCCAGTGAAACAGTGTTGTTTCCCTGATGACTACAACACAAAGATTCATGAGATTATTCTTCATTAGTCCCGGGGAATTGTTTTTGTAAAATGTCCATGTCACAAGACAACACAGGTTCTAAGAATGAACTCACACATGCATAATTAAACATGCGTGTACCTTCCTCTGTCCAATGGATACCCTGTTCTGTGAAGGTTTTGGTGAAGATCATTATATTGATGTCACTGTTCATGTAGCTGTAAAACTTGTTATAATTATTTTTATATGATGCAAGATGTCCCCTATTTTCATGTCTCTTTAGATTTACTGCCATGTTTCATGTTGATGCTAGTGAACATTCAAGGTGATATTTGAGGTGATTTTGAAATGTGACTGTAATACTTGTATTTATATTGTACTTAACCTTGGTTATTGTTGAATTTTAATCAGTTGTTTTGTTTTAAATTTAACCTTGTAATATTTGAAAATATTTTAAGGAATGTCGTGTAGGGGATGCTTTTGTTTCTGAAAGTATTTTCAACTAGCTACGTTTCACAAATTGGTTTGTTTCACAAATACGAATGGTATAATGTTCAATGTCATATACATGTAACCTCCATATATATTTACACATGTAATGTTGGGGAGCCATTGGCATTACTTGTTGGTTGGATTGTTTTCAACAGACATAAAGATATGTGTGTGTACCTACATAATTACTTCAATACTACATGGCATTATATTTAACAGTAGTATTCTTCTTGCCTGTCCCATGGGAAGACAGGCTGCTCTGTATTTTGGTAATAAAACACCTTTAATAAAACTGATTTCTTTTTGTCATTTTATGGGAAATGTGACAATGGTCAGCTTTTACCTGGTCAGCTGATGCTATACAACATTTCTGAATACACAAACAACTCAACACCTGGATTTGACGGATGTCTGTACTTGGACTTCACAGAACTTGTCCACTGTGACATGTTCACCTTGAACATGCTTGTCTGTGTTCAGCTGTATATACTTTATCCATGGATTAAGTCAACTTTGCACCAATGTTCCAAGTGCACCTTTTATTTCATAAACTAAAAGCTAATGTGAACTTTACATTATATTAAATTACATAAACAAATATAAATATTTGTGAGAAGATATTACATACATTACATCCTAACATTTGTATAGCCGATATCCAGCTCAGCTCAGCTGCTCAAAGGCACTTAGTTTTTTCCTCTTTCACTGGATGTCAATCTCAACGCACATCAGATTGTCAATCTCAACTCCCCCTTTGGGAGCATACAACTCTTGCAGCCACTAGGCGCACCGAAAGCTATTGTGGCATTCCCATCCTTACGAGGTACCCATTCACGGCTGGGTGGAGTGGGACACATAGTCACAGTACCTTGTCCAAGTTTTACTGCATTGCTGTACCGCAACTAGGTGTTTGCACGCATTCATGTGGCCACCATCTGGTCATATAACGGACGGATTCGTGGGTTCTTTTAAGTGCACAGGGTTGTGTACTGTACACTAGGGTTGTGACAACACTGAAAGAGTCTGCACACAAAGTTGACTCCAAAGGTTTTACACCCGGTCACAGGTGGGCTCGATCCCCGTCACCCTCAAGCCTCAAGCTGGATCACTAGCCTGGGGCTTTAGCCAGCTTGCCCACCGCTACTCTCCTAGATATTTATGTTATGCATTCCTCAGATTTACACACATTCACATTCACATTCATACTCTGGTGTGATTATATAACTGCAGGGCACTGGATAGCTGAGTGCTACAAGGATTAGCTTGTGATGCCACAGATATTGGTTTGACTCCCTATGGAATGCAAATGTGTATAGTTGATGTCCTAGATTGTGATGTGACTGACATGATACTGATAGAGGCATCATAACTATCTACCTCTCATTTCACACTTTATTTATATTCTATAAATATGTACTGATGTCCTAGACTGTGATGTGACTGGAATGATGCTGATAGAGGCATCATAACTATCTACCTCTCATTTCACACTTTATTTATATTCTATAAATATGTACTGATGTCCTAGACTGTGATGTGACTGGAATGATGCTGATAGAGGCATCATAACTATCTACCTCTCATTTCACACTTTATTTATATTCTATAAATATGTACTGATGTCCTAGATTGTGATGTGACTGGAATGATGCTGATAGAGGCATCATAACTATCTACCTCTCATTTCACACTTTATTTATATTCTATAAATATGTACTG